GTGAAAAAACAGGATGGTGAATCATATTTTCATTAAGTAATAATATTGTGTTATCATAGTCATTATTTAAAAGTGTTATTTTGAACAGTAGTATAGTATTTAGTAAATATAATAAATTATTCGTAAATATAAATTACTACATCAAGTCAAAATCAAATAGTAACTGTCCTTTTCTAAACACTGAATGCGCAAAAGACAGAAAGAGACGCGTCATGTCAATTTCAAACCACAAGCGCTTGAAACATTTAGAACTAAGATTCTATAGAGTCGCTTTAATGTAGTATTTTCATACAGTTACCGAAAATAACGTTTGGTCGAATTTTCATAATCCCGATTAATTAGTACCGACTATTTTTTTAGTTTTTTTAGGAATTTCGCAAAACAAACCGACGCTAATTATCTGTTTTGCGATGAGCGTCCAATCTCTGAATACGAAGGAATTCTGTACACTTCTGATAAACAAAAAACCAATTAAATGGGAACTTTTTGCAGGTCTCCGAAAAGTACAAGAAAAAAATTATTTGCATCGTACCAACAAGATCGAGGGGAAGAGGTTAACCTAGGCGCAGTTACATAGACCAAATGAAGCCGGTGTTGTATCGTATACGGAGGTCAAGGAGCTGGCCTGTAGGAGAGACGGCTGCTCCACCGACAAGAGTATAACACTTATGTTTGATGATGACCAACAAGTTTGCCTTTAGAAGCGAAATCACGAAGGTAAAACTGGCCACCCGACTATTCAGTAAAAGTGGGGCATAAGCTATGAAATTCTGTCACAACGAACTTAAACTACCAGAATTTGAAGATTACTGCTACTACTGAGTGGTCAAGGATACTGAATGATGTCTTTGACATCTTAAATTCGCAGAAATTTAATAATTACCTTTTTAACAATCATTACATAGCAAATACGCAGAAGCAAGCGTATTTGCTATGTAATTACCTGATTGGCTGTTGCAAGCTGAAGAATACTTCACCGCGTTGAGTGTTAACATTCTACGAAAAAAAAATCATAAAAAAAAAGAACGAGACAAGAACTACATTTCACCATGAAAATGTACCTTTAACAAAATGCCAATCCAATACAGACGTTCTAGGTCTACTAATGCAAATGTATAAAAAATATACATACCTATACACAACATTATCGCTAACCAATGAAGTTTATTTTTTGACATCATACAAATTTTGCCCAGACAACATGAAACTATTTTTTGGGAATATAAAGAAAGAAGGCTTTAATCGGCATACAATTGAGTTAGGCTCGACATTTCCAGCAAACGCCATTACTGAAGATAATATTCTTAAGCTGTGGCAAATACTAAATAATTCCACAATTGGCTACCGGTGCGACCTGGAACAGGAAATCGCATGCGAAAAACGCAATGAATTGGTGGACCGACTTCAAGGACCATCAGCTATAGAACACTCGGACATCGCATGCGATTATATTGATAGCTGTACGGAAAATGTGGGGCAATATGTTTACCTAAGGTTTTATACAAAAAAGAATTGGAAGAAAATTGACGGCTTTTTTAAAATTTATGTTTCCAGAAACTGTTATCAAAGAAACGACATTGTAATAAAAACGACAATAGTTGTTTGATATGGATGTAATGCAAACTTGTTACAACACTTGAGTTACTGCGCAACGCGCACGTGTGTGAATGGTTAGAAAACAGTTCACACTCCATGTTCACTCCTTTGGATCATGCGTTACAGAACAAATGACTGTATGTATAAAATACACTAGAGTTAGTTTCTTGCTCGTTCTTGTCAGGGAGGTCAGCGTAGTGAACGAGCAGTAGCTTAAATGTAACGTTTTCAAGTGTACATTTATTTTACTTATGGAATAAATAATCTTTGACTTGACTTGACGCACATAGGTACATTTTATAAAATAAAGTTTCGAAAATAGTTTTAAGAAACCTATTTCACTGCTTCCTTGTAAAATGGATCGCTTGATAGATGCATATGATATATGCATTCAGTTGATATTTGTATGACAAATTGGATCAGCACAAGAAAGTTTCGTGTTTCTTTTGTTGTTAAAGTTTCATGATTATTTATTTATTGAGCATTGACCATATAAAATCAATAGCTTAAAAGGTAACAAATAATTATGAAACTCAAAACGTAATGTAACATAAACTAAAAATTCATAGATATAAAAACAATAACAACTAAACCCCGCCATTTTTCATACATCAAATTTCAAATTAGTTACGTCTTGTCCTTACAATTTTGGGTACAATTCGCATTTTCGTGCAAATAATTCGATTGGAATATTCTGTAAACAGTATTTAATTGAACTTTGTAAATGTAAATAGCCTATTAATAACAGCTCTTTAAAACTAGGGCTGTTTTGTAAATAATATACTTTTTGATAGCGTAGTTTTGTGTTTTGTAAATAAAATGCCATGTTAAAGAAAAAACATAGTGAGATGTGGGACTATTTTGAAAAATGTCCATACAGTAAAGCCCGGTGTAAAAAGTGTAACGAGATATTCAGTTATAAGTCTAAGACATTTAACACAATTTGACATTTAAAACGAAAGCATGTATCTTTGTATATTAAACTTCCTTCGGTTATAAACAACCAACCACTACCAGCTCTATGTTCCGCCAGCAAAAACATAATAGCTACTACTATTGCTTCGGGCTCAGTCTCCATGACGACATCGTTGACGCAAGTCGAACAAAGTTCCTTATCATCAGTTGTTGTTGAAGAACAAGAAGCAACAGCAGCAGCAGCGGCAGCAAAAAAACAACGATTGCAAAGTGCATGGATAACATACATTACAAAAAAAATATCTAAGACAAAAAAAAATGACGACGATGTTTTGGACTTGTGCATTTTACCCTTTCAGCATAATCGAAGAAAGATCATTCCAAAAACTTATGCAATGAATACCAAGTTACACACTGCCGTCAACGCAAAATATTAAGAAATAATCATTTATATCATTGACTTACAAATAAATGGACAACGGGTCTAATACAAAAACCACGAAAAAAATGTCCCAAGTCAACCTATTTAATCGTAGTGACATGTAAAGGAATATGAAAAAGCTAAAACGTTGAATTCAAATTGTAATGTCATCGCAGTACTGTCTAATTTTGCTTGCTTCGCTGTCAGAAGAAACAAACGAAGACTAAAGCGTGAATGACGCTCTGTATACGATTTTAACGCCCTATAAGTTCGGACACTTTTTAGCGCGGACCCGACGTCCATATAATTGTAAGTCAATGATTTATATGTACTATACAATAGGACAAAAGAGAAAGTTTTTCAAGCAGAATGTGATGCAATTTGTATAACTTTTGATTTGTGGATGTTGCGAAAGACAAAACCTTACATAGCCATAACAAGTCACTACATAAACAATTTTTTTTAATTTGTAAGTGTTCTTTTAGACTGTTGTCATTTTGAAAACAATCCCACGGCGAATATTGCAGTTGAAGAAATACGCAAGGTAATAGAGGAGTGGGATATTACAAATAAGGTGAACTTCGCAATAGTAACAATGCGTCAAACGTCACAATGCCATAACCTGCTCAGAAGCAATTGCAAGTCAAATCAAATGGAAGCACTACGGGTGCTATGCCCATAAATAAAATTTGGTAGTGCAAAATGTACTGAAGTCTTTCGAACACAAAAAAAAGAGAGTTTAAAAACAGTCGTTGCTTTTTTCAAAAAGGCACTTTTTCTACAGAAAAGCTGGACTAGCGTTTGATCCAAGAAATGAAAACAAGGCGCAACTCTACATTCTATGTTTCGTCGAGCCTAAGGACGAGATAAAGATAACGTTTGGCAATCATAAATAAAAATTCACCTATTATATCTGAATAGGAGTCGGCGATAGTTTCTCAGTTGTGCCGAATGTGAGCGGTGAAAAATATGTAACTGGGAGTGACGTCATAGCTGTGACAGGAATATTAAACGAAACCTGCCGAGATGTCACAAGACTGACGAAATCAGTGATCAAATTCGTGGATTCAACAATCTGCTGAAATTAGACATAGAAAAATAATCGGCAATATGGAAAAAAGCGGAACATTTTCGCTGTGTAACGTCTTGGATCCACGTTATAAAACGACAACTTTTGCTGACCCAGCAGAAGCATTACACACCAAACGCAGAATATAGGACAAAGTGCAAGATGTGATTGCTAAACAAAAACAAATAACGCCTTCTGTAGAACCTTCGTCTTTATTTGGAAAAGACAAAACATCTGTGTGGGATGTTTTCGAACTATTTATGTCCGAGAAAGCATCGGCACAACAAGGCACATATACCACTTTCTAAGGTCATAAAAGACGTTCAAATGTAGACGATGAACACAATGGGCACATTAGTCCCTTTAAAAGATTTTTTAGCAAAACGGGAACAATAATATCAGACTGACGTGCCAGTCTCAGTACCAAAAAAGTGAGGCAAATGATGTTTTTAAACTTCAACATGGACCAAGATCGCTTAATAGTAAATAGGAAAAAAATATACGGACGACAGCACATGAAGCTACATACTAACGGTTCTTGTTCCGTTGCACTGGAGGCGATATTCGAACAAAAGTGTATAGCTTGATATGCCATTAAAATAAAAAAGGGAAATCCGTTTTTTTAAAGTGTTCCTTGAAAGTCATTTTTTGGAAAAAAAACTCCTTTGCTCCGTTTTTGAAACAACATTTAACGTCCTTGATTCTTTGTAAAATAAACATATTTTAGGTTAGTTATGCCATAATTATCTTAGTTCTGTATGTTTTTGAGTAATAAAAATATATACAGGGTAAAATGATTATCACTAATATCAGGTTTCTTATCACGGTATGACTTCTTTTTATTTTCCCGATAATTCGGAACGGTTGCACGCTCCATGGTCACGGGTTGACTGGACGGCTAATCATTTAGTGAATAACCACGAAAGTCTTAAAATCTATATACAGGGTTATTTTTAAAATACGATAAGTTTCAAACAAGTATAACAAAACGACGCTTACCTTACGTTCAAGCAATTTCCTATATGATTGCAAATCGTCGAATACATTGTAGTTAAATTGGAGCTTCAAATTCATTGCTTCAGTATCGTGGTCATACTTTTCCGCAAATTTCTCGATTTGACTAGATTTCTCCTGAACAATTAAGACAGTATGTTACAAAACAGTATAATTTATAATAAAAAATTGCAAAACTGCTGTACTGCCACAAGTTTTCACAGGAATTTGGTACCAAAATAAATTCACGTCGCAAATAGACCTTCAGTGTATTGGCACAGATTACTTAATAGCAATTACGTAACAGATACATCACTCTCATACCAAATCGAAAATACCTACTCTATATAGCCTACTAAATCTGACTAATGAAACCAGGCGCTCACTACGAGGAAAAAGGAATCTAAGGATGCGCTCAGAGAGGTGAGAATAACGCTGCCCGCAGAAGTGCGGAACCAAATGCAGGGATTGTACAAGGATTGTAATGTAAATTAGAGACTAGTTAGACTTATCGCGTAACCTCGAGCAAGTGGCAGAGTCCTGGTATTGTTTAGAATCACCAATTATTTTTTATTTTTTGAAAGCTGTGTTATTCGATAGGACTATATTATGATATTCGACTTATGTGTTTATTGGTGCGAAAATCAGCCAATGCCATCTAGCAGCGTGGGATGGAACTTTTATATTATTGTTGTACGCATGTATATGATTTTATTACATACGGAAATAAACCAGATATATGTATTGATAGCACGGTTTGTCTTATATATGAAGACAAATGGTGCTAAATAGGCCATGGCACCATTACTTACTTCGTTTTCTTATTGACGACAACTTTTAGCTACATCTTCGGGTCATAAATCCCATAGAGTCGAAAAGAAAGTATAGAAGAGAATAGAATACGTTTATTTGCCAGAATATAGTATTTATACAGTCTTGAGTAAAATAAGGTACATTGTGTTGAACCTGCACGCAGGTGTGCCAATGTTAACGGTATTTCACATTGGTCTCTGCAATTACAAATCAATATGGATTTCGAATTAATATCAATTGGTATTTGTAACTACTAAATATTCTTTAATACTTTAAAAGCAATGTGTCAAAAGCCATTTTATCGATTGTGATTTAAAGTTAAATCCTTGTAGTGGTTTGATTACATTAGATGAAATATTTAAAAAATCTAATAAATATATTGAACGAAATTTCTTTTCAAATGATGTTTTACCACCGTGATATTCATGTTTTTTTAATTACTCCACTAGTTATAATTATTAATACAAAGATCGAACACTAAGAAACAAATTCTGGCTGGATTCGAACCAACGTCTTCTAGCAAACCGCGCCAGACGCTACGCCAACTAAGCCACGGTACGAACCACCGGCCCCTACGAATGTTTCTATGTGCTTGTTGCAGTACTTTGGTTTCGTTTTTTCAACGACTTTTTTTTATGTAGCGCCATCGTGAGAAAACTTTTATCTTTATATTCTTAACATAATTTATAAATTATTGGAAAATTAAATTTCATACGTTAGTTTTTTTTACATTATAAATCAAGTTTTGAAATGTGGAAGGATCATTTAAGGTCTAATTTTATCATGCGATACCCACATACCAGTTGTTCAACACACAAATTAGATTTTGGCCGATTCAAAGGGAATTAGATTTTTTCAGAAGAGAGAAAGTTTAATCACATGAAACCGCTGTCAAGTTTATTTTCTCAAAATACAATAAATGAGATGTACGAGTAACAAATTATGTTGAACAATGAAAATGTTCATCCAGGGTAGTACTGCCACCTTACCTATTTCTACCGCCAAGCGGTGATGTGGGCATTACAGCGTTCCGGTTTTAAAGGGTAAGGGTGCTGGTGAAATTACAGGCACATGGGGCTTGTCAGCTAATGTCCCAGGGTAACGGGATAACTGGCGCAGTGGCAGCATCCTTCAGATCTTTGTGATTTAAAACACTGAGTAGTAATGCAACTGTTATGGACAGGCGTATCGCTTAACACCAGGCGCACGACTTGTTCGTCCCATCACTTGTATCATACAAAAAAAAAACCAATTACGGTTGCGGCAACCGGCGGGTGCTCGATTTCATATCAATTATACGAAAATACAATATTCGCTCTACCGAGATATAAATCGACAAGTACCATGTGCCTGTTACTTCACCAGCACTCCTATCCTTCACAACCAGAACGCATTACACATCACATATAGGGTAGGCAGAGATCATGGACCTCCACACACTCCTAACAAACATCTTACGCTTCCCCTACCCTCATCAGTCTCTTCATAAATGCCCTTTTATTCTTGGTACGTTTAGCCCGGCCTTTTTTAAGCACATCCCCAATTTGATTGAGAAATATTTGACGAGGTCTACCTCTTCCCGCATGATCACATTACTGCTTGGCGGCAGAAATTGGTAAGGTGGCAGTATTTGGATCGACTCTTTCACAAGGAGTTCTATCGCTTCTAAAATATATTTATAAAAATAGTTTTATAATTACACGATGCAAAATATCGTAGTAATGCTCCGTTTCAAGATGCGCCCTTTCTTCGTCAATGTAACAGTTCCTATAATAATTGTTGATAAGAACACTTTTGTCCTGGACTCTTGACACGGTTAACTTTATCTGCTCTTGACGCGATTTCTCCCAGTGACTTACGTATCGATATTGAATAGCCGACCTTTCATTCAAACACTGGAAATTTTCGATTAATATTAATAATAATGTACTAAACAACCACACCATCCAAAAGCTTTGGTATTGGCTAACGTGCTTTATGTCTTGGAGCCTTCGGGGTTGTACCATGCAGATGGCAAGGGACCTGACGGCCTTACACTGGTTCCATGGCAGAAGGGTCAGTGCGTTTTGTGGACGCTACGTATGTCAGTAAGTTTGCATTGTCTTACCTGAGTCACCACCAGATCTGCAAAGTATGCGGCAAAATTGAAACTTGTCAAGTGCCTTGGAACCGATGTAAGATTTTGTGCCAATAGCAGTGGAGACTGCGGGGACTTAGAGTCCGGAGGCCAAAGAACTAGTCAGGGGCTTAGAGTAGAGGCTGTGATCCACGCTCTGTATCTTACTTGGTGCAACGAATTGCGTTGGCCATTCAGCGAGGTAATGCTGCCAGTGTTGTGGGAACGTTTCAATCAACTAAGATTCAGAGCTGTCCTTTTTCATTGTAATAATTGGATAAAAATGGCTAAGTCTGTTAAGCCTCTCTCACTTCATAGGTGGTCACATCCTTTTCTCCGCCCGGACGATGTAGCGAATCGCATTCGCTACAAATCTCTTTTGTGTATATATTTTACAGTTATTAAAACTCAGCTTTTTTTTCCACTTTGTTGTATTTAAATTCTAAATTTAAACGTAATTGTTTTTGGCGCCTTTTTTCTTGACCTTTCGTTTGCTGTTTTGCTTTGATAGCTATGTGTTTTGTGAGAAAAATTAATAAACTGTAAGTACATTTTTCTTTGACCTTACTCACTCATTGTTAGCACCCACCCTGCTACATATTTCAAATTATAAATCACTTTTAACTATAATTTCAAATCTATTGAACATCATGATGTTCAACTATCATGATATTCAATTATGTTATCTGAAATTACTGCACTAGTTTGTTATAAGTATTAATACAAAGATCGAAGACTAAGAAAAATTTCTTCGATCGATTATTAATTATGTTAATAAAAGCTTCCTAATGGCAGATTTGAACCGGAACGCTTATTGTCAAATATATTAATTTCTTGATATTCATTATTACTTTGGGTACAAGGAACCCATTTTTAGAATAATTAATGCGATAATGAGGTATTACAAATAATCCTCGCGGACGTAACTTGGATCTTGGATATTTTAAGGAAATAAACCAATTTCCTAATAAATAAGTTAGTAGAATCAATGTGATTATTAATAATTTAAAAAAAAATTGATCCCTAAACTCTCTCCGTTTTTGCAAAGATATAATTTTTATATGTTTAAATTTCCTTTTTTTATATTTCAATCTTGTAACAAATTTATTTTGCACTCTTTTGATCATGTCGAGTTCGATCATTTCGATTATAGTCGGGCTTCCAAGCAGTGCATGCATACTCAAGATCAGATCTTATAAATGCATCTTATAGAGCGTCAGGGTTCTTAAAATCGCTATATTGTAAAAATATAAAACCTAGTAATTTAAAAATCTTATTGGTAATGCTGGTGATCTGGGGGTGCATCTGATGAAAAAAGGTGAGAACCTCGGATACTCTTTGAATTTCTGATTGTTACTATAGTAATTATGAAACATTGGTTAGATTTCTCGATTTTTCAATATTAAGATATAATTTATTTATAACACAGTAACCGCTTAAGTAAGCCAAAGCATTCTATATATTTAAACAATCTTTGTTAGACTTTATAATATCAAAAATTTTAGTATCCTCAGGATATAGGAGTAATTTAGAATTTATAAAACATCTTTAACGTCATTTATAAAAATATTGAATAGGAAAGGTCCTAAGCGAGATCCCAGGAGAACACCGGAACTAAAAGGACGAAACTGGAAGATAACCCTTTGATCGCAACTGCTTGGCTCCTGCCACGGAGGTAACTTTTAACATTCACTTTCGTAATAACAGTCAGTCCCATATCTGCATAGTGTACGGAAAATTGAATATTTTTTGCATATCAAATAAGGGTTCAGTAGATAAAAGTCATACTATACTCATACAATTTGACTCCGCATAACGTGCTTTGTCGTTACAGACAAAATAATAAACCAGGATCCAAGCATAATCACGCTACGGACTTCTAAGGACAACGAACAAGAAAGTTATCTACAGCGCCATCTATTAACAACAGAGAGAACGATCTACTATATCCAACATCTTTCCGACTAACCAAAACAGTCTGTAACGAAAAGTTGCATAGCAAATTAGTTACACTTATCTCGTCCAAGAGGGCGCTAATACGAGCTTCCTGCTTGTTTAATTCCTTTAGATGTTTCTTCTGCAGCAATATTGCTTGTAGCCGTAACTCATGGCATCGCCTGCAAGTTCATACAGTGTAATATCACCTACTACTGTAGCATAAATGTCTGTTTGATAATGCAGGCGCCTGATGGAAAAAGTACCATTACGTAATTTTCAAAAGTATCTATATTTGACAGTTTGCAGGACACCCTAAAGGCTCATTTAGATGAAGAGAGTTTCTCGTCTCGAACATACGATTATCGAAAGGATATAAAAAACTTTCCTCATTTAAACGTTCGCTCACGTGGACGGTCGATAACCGCCTCGCCTTTGAATATTGAACGTCTCCGTGTAAACAGAACTCGAAAGCAAAAATCGTATTTCGAGTTTCTGTGCCAGCTGTTTCTACCATGAGAGCAGTGCGCGAGGGTGTTTTGATTATCACTACTATAAGACAAGAATTAATGAAACGAGAACGAAAAAATATTTTGGATTAAGAAATGTTACAAAATTTTAAAAAATAAAATAAAAAGATGTATATTTATTTCTATGCAGTTCCAAATCTGAATGATTTTTGCGTCATTTTGATATCTCCATAGTCAATACCGCAGTAATCTCTCAACTCGAATGGCAATTCTTGCACTCAAAACGGCTCGAACCGATTTGTACATTAATCGTATGAACTTGAAAAAATGTCATACGAGCATTGACTTACAATTATATGGACGTCGGGTCCGCGCTAAAAAGTGTCCGCACTTGTAAGGCGCTAAAATCGTATACAGAGCGCCAAACTCCGCTTTAGTCTTCATTTGTTCGACTGACAGCGCGATACTGCAATGACATTACAATTTAAATTTCGAATAGGTTGACTTGGGACATTTTTTTCGTGGTTTTTGTATTAGACCCGTCGTCCATTTATTTGTAAGTCAATGCTGAATGTAAACATTATGATACGACAATCTTATGGCGATTATTGCTTACGATATTCGCGTACGATTTTTCGTCACGAAGCGTGCGATAAACTCTCTCCATCTAAATGGGCCTTAAGACTACACGACCTAAAATGACAGAACAATAAATACAGTAGAAGTGGTTAGTTAGCGTCTGACGCATGCCAACTATAAGGTCTCGAAAGACCTACTTGAGCTTAGTCTGCCATTTTCACTTTGTATGTTATGGTTGTGTCATTCTTTCGTGCAAATTCTCAAAATCGTGGAAAAATGCCTTAATGTGCTGTTTTAGAGTGCAAAGTTTATAGCTGCACCAAAACTATTACCCGTAATGGTATTTCCAATCATCGGTAAGTCTTATTTAAAAAAAATGACAATTTTCTGATTATCTATTCATTCAAATGTTTTGTTTAATCGTTCATTGCAGTTCAGCTACTGGCCGCAAGATGGCACCATGTTGAATAAAATTACAATATAAAACGTCGTAACTTGCAAAAGTATTGAACTAAGTTTAAATTATATTAACAAAATTTGTTACATCTTTTTAAATTAGAAACTATAACCAATCATTATCAAGATTTCGTAGTGTTGTTTGCTTGCGTGCGCTTTGGTAACTTCGGTTCCGATAGTAATCGAGGCTTATGGCACTTCCATTTTTTTTTCTTCCATGCCTAAAATTTTGTAATTTTTGCTATTAGGGCGAAGTATTTTAGGACGTGAGGTGTTTATTTCAGCAGGTTTTTAGGATTTTATATGTTGGAATAAAGTACACCCTATCGTGTAACAAATTATCACATTGGTTCTTTAGACAATATCCTTAGCTGTATCGTATAGCTTTTTTGTAAGACCGTTATTTTAATAGTAAATACCTAAATCATTTGATCTAGCGAAACAGATTTTCCCGCTTGTCCTTCTTAGGTTGCCTTTCCACCAGAGATGTTGCGAGGTAGCGTATAGCGTTTGTGAACCGATTTTGATGATTCTTTTTTTTGTTGGAAATAGGGTACCTGAGTATTGGTTCCACTTAAATTTGAAAAAAATATTCCACCTCTAAGGGTGGCAAACTAGGGGATGAATCTGGTTTCGCGTACTTTCTGGTAAAGAATTTCAATAAAACTTGGCAAAGAGATGTAATTCCACTTTTGAGGTCGGTTTTAGCACTCTGTACTCTGTGATTATATCTTCTTTGTTTCGTAATAAGTACTTCAGTGGACAATGCTTTTGTTTTACAGCTTTGTTTTACGGTAATAGAGTATTTTATTTCTACTGTTGATGTACCTTACCTATAAAATAAAGTGAAATCATCTTCTACCCCACACGCTTCAAAACCTACACGACCACAAGACCATTTCACCTTAATAAACATTGATCCAAGGTCCGTAGTGCAACGGGAAACAATGACTCTGTCCCTAAATTATTGGAGCAGAAAATTTACCCAAAAATGCTGCATACAATGAGAACAGATAATGTTGTGAAAAGAAGGTGTAGGGCTTGAGGATGAATCAATAAGTAAAATATCTGCCTAACAAGTTTAAACAACAATATTGGTACGTATTCAAGTTCCATCTACGGGCACATCGAGATATTCGGTGACAGGACAATACCAATTATTGTACACGAGCGCATGTCCAATGTACCTGACCTCTCTTCTGTTAATGGTACCCAGCTTTCACATATTTTCAGACCAACATGACTTACAATTTATTCCTGGCAACATCAGCAGATAACTGTTTTAAGTACTGCGTTTGAGCCGACATTTTCCCCAGCATATTATCCAGTGTTTTGTAGCTCTTGTTTAACCCCAGGTCCAAATAAGTCGCAATGTGTGATTCTCGAACGAATGTTCTGGAAATGTTAAAAGGAAATTTAGTAAAAATTGACAAGTTACTCTCTCATATGGTGTGAACTCGGCCTCGTTGAAAGAACTTTTGACAGTATGTCCAGCTAACTTTAGTATCCTTTACAGTTTTAATGAATTGATTAACTAATAACATGCTTTAATAAAAAATTTGGCGTCCATTACAAAATCCATATACCAATGGATATTTTAAAAAATTGCCTTAATGTTGTAAAAGGGAATTCGTGTTATTATTACCTACTCCGAAAGATTTTTTGTTATCCCCATATGTTTTTATAATTTGCTCGAGTTTTTCGAATGTAAAAAAATTGATAAATTTTGAAAATTAAACTATTTTTTTCAAAGGTAAAAATATCAAGATGTATGATGGCCGATATAGAGATATGCAAATTATTTTTCTCTAGTATACTTTAAAATAAAATCAATAAATATTGACCTACTAACAAATGGACGTCGGGTTCGCGCTAAAAAATGTACGCACCTATAGGGCTTTAAAATCGCATACAGAGCGTCAATCGCGCAACATTCTTCGTTTGTTCGACTGACAGCACGGTTGTCAATCATGCAGTACTATACATATAATAATAACTTGACATAATAATATATATTAAAATTAATTAATATTTAC